AGCAACAATATTTAAACTAGGAGGTATACTTTATGAGGATGAATATATAGCCTAGTTAACAATTTTCTCTAATATAATGATTCTAAAAATATACTCTGTAAAAAAGCAATGAATTGACTAAAGTAAAAGAACTGATAATTTAAATAAAAAGAAAATAGCTAAAAATATTAAACAAAAAGGAAAATCTATAAAAAGAAAACCTGCAGTTATACTACTTTTAAACCAAATAATTACACCATATACCTCTCAACAATTTTTCAACTAACCTGCAAATATAACTAATAGATAATTATTAGCAATAAACTCTAAATTTATTAAAGCTATTACTAAAAAGCTTAGAAAGCCTATAACTAAAAAAGTACCTGCAACTAAAAGTACTGATAAAAAGGATACTAGAGACTCTTCTAATGATAAAAATAATAGAAAAATATCTAAATAGCTAACTATCTCAATAATTGATAATACTGACCTTGAGTTTATAGAATATGATAATAAACAATTAAGTAGAAGTTTAATTAATACTAATTTAAACAAAGCAATAGAGGAAAAGTCTACTTCTTTGTATTATGATGCTACTATTAAATATATTAAATTCCTTCTTATTATTAACTCTAGATCTGCTTAAAGTATAATGTCTCTAAATCTATTAAAAGACTTAGATATAGAAATAATCTAAACTTCTAGAATAGTTATAATTAATATAAATAGTAAATATTGTTAACCTCTAGAATATATCCTTAGAAATAGATAAATAAATAATCCTCTTTGATGCTATAATTACTGAGTTTAATTCCTATAGTGCTATTGAAGGAAATGACTAGTTAAAGAAAATCAAAGCAAATATAAATTATAAAGATAATACTATAACTATTTACTGGAACAATAAAGTAATCACTGTTAAAATTAAATCTTAACAACTCCTATATCATGAAGTTAGCATTGAAGTCTCTAAAATGCAAAAAGATAAACAAATAGTAGAGAATGAAATAGTAGAATCAGATAATGAGGAAAAATATGAAGAGGACTTTGATTTTAGTGAAAGCTTATTTTGCTATACTGAGGAGAAAGCCATAAAAATTGAATAGGAAATTAATAAACAAGTCTTTAATGAATTCAATACTAAACTATATTATAATAAATCTGAATTAAAACCAAAAAAAAACTAAAGGAACTAGATAAAGAAAAGTATAACATTGATTAATTAGAGCCTTAGGATAAACAAATATTTTTGGAATTCATAAAAGGATATGATAATTTATTTGTCTAGAAACCCTATAAATTTGGAAGGACTAAAGCTATAATCTATACTATCTCTATGGATACAACACTTATTAAACAAAACTTCTATCTTATTTTATATAAAAATTAGCAATTCATTAAGGAAGAAATTCAGAAAATGCTAAAACATAATCTAATTATACTTAGCAAAAGCTCTTGAGCTTCTTCAATTATAATAGTTAATAAAAAAAATAGAAAACAATAATTTTGTGTAGACTACTATAAATTAAATACTACAACTAAAAAGAATAATTACTCTTTCCTTCAAATTAATAATCTATTAGAAGCTCTAGTATACTTCAAATAGTTCACTAGTTTGAACAAAGCTAGTAGATATTAACAAATATCTATAAAACTTCAGAACTAGGAAAAAACTGCCTTTATAATTCAGTTTAGTACTTATGAATTTACAGCTATACTTTTCAGATTATATAATATATTAGCAATATTCCAAAGGCTAATAGATACAGTTTTAAGGAATCTGCTCTGTAATTTTGTAATAGTTTACTTAGATGATATTAATATTGGATCAAAAACATTTAAACAATACTTAAACTATTTTAAACAAGTGTTTGAATATTTCAAGGATGCTAGTTTAAAGTTGAACTCTGAAAAGTATTTCTTTTTTAAGCAAAAACTACTTTTTTTTAGCTATATAATTAGTGAAAAAGATATTAAAACTAATCTCTTTAAAATACAGACTATACAAAACTATCTTATACCTCAAAATACTACTCAACTTTGAAGATTCTTAGGTCTTGCATCTTATTACTATAAATTTATAAAAAGCTTCTTTAAAATAGTTGAATCTCTGAATAAACTTCTCAAAAAAAAAAAGATTATATCTAGACTACTGATCAACAAAATGCTTTTCAAAAATTGAAGGACTGCTTAACAACTTTACCTATATTTATCTACTCTAACTTTGAGAAACTATTCTTGATTTATACTGATATATCAACTATTGCCTTAGAAGCAATTTTCTCACCAAAGAATAAGAATAATAAAGAGCATGTAATAGCCTATACTAGTTGAACTCTAAATTCTTACAAGAAAAATTATTTAATTACTAAGCTAGAATATCTAGTAGTAATTTGGTCTAGTTACAAACTGCTAAACTAAAAAAAAAAATAGAAAGATAAATCTTAATACTACAACCTTATAATTTTAAAATTATTTATAAACCAAATAGAATTTACTTAAATGTGAATATTCTTCTGAGATTAAAATCGAAGAAAACTAAAATATATTTATAAATTTAGACCAATATCAGAATTTATATAATTATCTGAAAACTGAGTAATTACTAGATAATCTAGTAATAAAGAGTAAAAACAAATTATAAACTAGAACTAATTTTTCAAAACAAAACATAACTTAATATATAAAAAAAATAGAAAAGATCAAAACAAATCTATATGAGTAGTTAAATAAACTGAAATAAAGCTAGTACTATATATGATGCATAACTATTTAACTAGTAGATATTTAGAAATAAATACTATGTATAATAAAATTATTTAATAATACTATTAGGACCAAATATATAAAAATATTTAAGCAAGGTCTGGTAATCTTAGTGTAGTAGTTAGATTGTCAGACTGCTATACAAAAGATCTGAGGTTCAAATCCTACTATCAATAAATTTGAATAATTACTCAGATCTTTATACTCAACTTATAGTAAATTCTGTCTGTTTTTGAAGTTTTAACTCTGTAAATCATGTTATACTAATATTATCTGAATATTAGAAGTGTAATGAGGTATTAAAAAGACATAACTTATACAAATAAATCTTAATAGAATCTATGAGCAAAGAGTCTGTATAGTAGAAATCCTGAGTTAGTGAAATAGTATAGCTTTTGACAATCATACTAGCTAATACTTAATTCTGAAAGGAAACTATAATCAAAAAATGTAGATCAAGTCAGATATGCATAAATCTGTTCTACAAGAAGAATTAATAACACTAATTTAGCTTAGTAGCTAATTGAATTAGAAGAATTTGCTTTGAAAACATCTAAAAAGATAGAATACAGAAAACTAGTAGAAAGCTACAGTAGGAACTAGAATTGTATGAATATCTACAAGGATTTAAGCTAGATGAATCTGTAAAATAAGTATGGATCACTCTAGTAGGTATGTTTTAAGATTAACTAGCTTTGTGATATCTATAATACATTAGGTACAATATATCTTAAGAGAATCTAAGCTATTCTGAATAAATAAATCTATAACGAACTAGTTAGCTTAAGTAGTTAGATATTGTAGTAATATTAGGTTGGATCTGTATAGGTTAATGAACAGAGTGTTTAAATAAGTAACTCACAAGTAGGTTACAAATATAGCAGCATAGTATAGAACTAATCGAGTAGTCTAATCACCTTTGTAGTGAACTACTTAAAATAGACAATGACTAAAGTTGTATATATAGCTTGTTATATATTCTTCATATAATTACAAACAGTAAAAACTATTAATATATATCCTGTATGCAATTCTAATAAAATTCTTTCAGCAATATAAGCCACTTTAATAACAAAAAAAAAAAAATAGAAATATTTAAGCATATATATGTTATTATAGACTAAAAATAAGATATCTGAAATGTAAAGCTATAGTACAAAATCAAGTTAAACTATTTTAAAAAATAGTGATTTTGATATTTAGCTAATGAATATTCAGCCTTGATTTAAGAGGCTTAAGTTATTAATTTTGGAATGTTATTGTAGCTAAGACTTAGATATGAATACATGAAAAAAAAAATATAAGGCAAAGTATTAAATAAGATTAAATAAAAATTCAAAATAAAAGAAAAATAGACAGAAATATACAAATTAGTCAAAACTGCTATTAAATTAAAAAAAAATAATATAAAAACTTATCTTTTAAAAAGCCTCTTATCTCATTTGTGAAAAAGAAGAATTAATTATCAATAAAAATCTATAAAAGAACTTATATTTTGCTATTGTAAAAAAGACAAATCTAAAGTCACAAAAATTAATAAAAATAATAAAATACTAACTTAATAAATTATCATTGTTATACTTCTGATAAGAATAAAAATTGTTTAAAATATAAAAATTATTAGCTTTGTATTATGTATTCTCTTTATTTTATTTTTAAATCTAAGTAATAACTAAAAGATCTTGTAATATTTGATAATGACTGTGAGATACTGAACTTCTAAAAGTTAAATAAACAACTTCTTGAAGAATGAATAATAAATAGTTTAAAGAATTTATAAAAACTATTATCTGATCTTTCACTAATAAAGTTAAAAATATTGTTGATAGACAAAAGCCTAGATTAAAAAAAAACAATCATATCAAAATTAAAGAGTTTTATAGTACTAATGATAAAGATCCAATTAAATAGTTTAATGAATTCAAACAAGTAGCTAAAGTTAATAATTAAATCAAAAAGTATAGACTACAAATTGTGATAGGTTATTTGAAAGAAATAGCTGCAGATTAGTACAAAAAGAATAAGAGTAGTATTAAGTATTAGAAAACTAAAAGTAAAGATAAAGAAAAAAAAAATTAAAATTTTTATCATTTACTAGTAGAACAATTTGCACCTCTAGAAAAACAACATAATAGCAAATAGAACTTAATACTTTAATACAAAAGAATTTTGAAAAGGTGAATAGTTATATTACAAAATTTAAATGATTACTTAGTCAAGTAAATCTAATTAATAGCTTTCTGAATAGATATATTATGCAGATATTCTTAAATAGCCTAAAAAGAAAGAATACTACTTTTGGTATAATATGTGTATTTAAAAATTTGAACAAGGCTATTATTGTAGCTAGAAAAGTTAAAGCTAAAGATTAATAAGGACAATATACCTTAGAATCATCTAAACTACAACAGAATTTAGAAAATAAATCAAGTAATATTAAAAAAAGAATTAAAGAGTTAGCAATAAATTATATAGCTCTAGTAACTAAGATAAATAGTTCAGAAAATAATCAGCTTCAAAGAGATTTCAAGAAAGAACAAAGAAGAGGATCTAAATATTATCAGTATAGTGAGATTAGATATTATATACAAGATTGTTTATTTAAGAAAATAAATATTACTAGATAGCATTCTAAGAATATTAGAAGTCCGGTGATCTTAGTGTAGTGGTTAGGTTGTCGGATCGCCATGCAAGAGGTCTAGGGTTCAAATCCCACTGTATACAGAATTGAATAATTATCTAGACATCTGTATCCAACTTACGGTAAACTCTGCTCGTTTCTGGGGTTGTAACCCTGTAAATCACGTTGTACTAATATCAATTGGGTATTGGAAGTATGACAGGGTGTTTGGCGAGGCATTATGTTACACGAATAAATCTTGATGGGATCTACAGGCAGAGGACCTGCATAGTAGAAATCCTGAGTTAGGTGAAGTAGTATGGATTTCGACAGTTATACTAGTTAACGTCTAATCTGAGAAAAAAAATCTGCTTAGGAAAAGATCAGCGAAATAGATATGAGTAAGTCCTGAGTATAGAAAGATCGACAAAACAGGTACGAGTAAGTTCATTATATGAGATCATATAGCAACACCAACCTAGTTTGGCAGCTAACTAGATTTGGGAGGATCTGTCTCATGTGATATCTGGCAGCAAAGCAGGCAACACCAAGTAACAGATTTGAGAGGATCTACTTCGTGTGATATCTAGAGGTATGAATGACTAACTTGGTGGAAGACCATAGTAGGAACTGGGTTTGTACAAATATCGAACAAGGGTATATACAAGCTAGATTAAGATATAGCATAGCATAATTAGGTACCACAGCACCCTATCAGTTAGGGAGTTAGTAAAGGGATACTTTGAGATAGAGTCTAGGCTGCAAACTATAAAGTTTGTAGACTAATATCAGCTCAGGTATTTTTTTGGAGAAGTAGCATGGGGTTAAATGAACCTTGGTAAAAAAAGATAGAACACGAGTAAGTATTATAGGTCAGAGAGTTTAAATAGGTAATCTTCAAATAGATTTCAAGTATGGCAGCTAGTGTAGAACCTTCGAGCAGACTACTTAAATTAAACAATCTAAAATTGTATGTGTGGCTAGTTATACTCTCACAATATGTAACATTTACTTACTATCAATACTAATAAAAGTTTCGGCTAATGGCATTTGTATAAAATAATAAAAAAAAAAAAAAAAAAAAAATTTATTGCTCAATCACATAATTATAAAGGCATATCATAGATATTAACTACATTTTAAAAATAACTCAATCCATTTTTTGCAAATTTATTTTCCAACAGCAAAGAAAAAAATATTTTGAAAAGAAATTTAAGAAAAAATAATTAAACTCTGTACAAATATAACATACAAAATTATTCTAATGGGTGATTTTAATAGTGTTTCAAATTCTTGCTTAGACAGATTTCCTTCAAAAAAGTCCTCTATTCCAGAATCAAAACTTATTAAATTTCTAATAAGTCAACAATTTAAGGATACATTTCATTTATTTTTTCTAAACACATCAAAATATACTTTTTTAAGAACAAACTCTAATAGTAGAATTGATCATATCTGGACTAATCTAAGTACAATACTACTTGATTATACAGATATAATATCTGAATTAAAACAAGAATCAGATCATCAATTAATAATATTAGAATTAACTTTACAAACTACTTATACTCTGCTAACTAAACAGAAAACTATGAAAAGTTTTCTGTAAAAAAAATGTAATAAAAAGAGACTTGAAAAATATGCAAACCAGACCTCTCAAAGCTTACAACAATTTCAAGAATATCAAATCACAAAACCAACTCAATCTGCTCTAGAACAAAATATATAAAGCTTTATCTAAAGCTTCTACTAAACATATTCCTTTTAAAAAAATCAAAACTATTCAGGAAATTAAAGAAAATCCAAATACCAAACTCTCTCCATTATACTACTGTTTCAAACAAATTCTACTATTAATTAAATCAGAATTTCAATATATTAAAAATGCTCTAAATATTTAACAAAAACAACAAACACAAGAAGAAATTCAACAAAGAATAGAAGAATGTAATCAAACTTTTAAGAACTCACCAAAGATCTTTTATCGAAATATTCTTGAAAGATATAATAATAAAAATATTGATAGATTAAATACTAATAATAATACTCTTCTAACAGAACAAAACCAAATTAAACAAGCAATTTACTTATATTTCACAGATTATTTTAATGAAAAACTACTTGCACAAATTCCTCTAATGTCAGACTACTATAACTACTATGAACTATATTCAGAAAATGAAAAATATTTTCAAAATCTTCTAACAGAAATTTCAGAAGAAGAATAGACCTCTATTATTAAAAATCTTTCTCTACAAAAAGCTACAAGCCCTTCAGAAACTAGCTATAAACATATTAAATATGTAGGCTCTAAAAGCCAACATATCCTAAGACAATTCATTAGCTGTTGTCTTAAACTTCAAAAAGTCTTAACAGTATAGAAAACATCTAATATCTTCCTAATTTCAAAAAAATCTACTTGAGATTATACATTAAACCAAGTATAACCTATTTCAATCTTAGAACCTCTTAAAAAGTGCCTTACCAAAATCTTTACTCAATATCTCGATAAAATTATCTCTTAACACAAACTACTCTCAAACCTCAACTTTGCTACTACAAAAAACTCTTCGACTCATATCCCCATACAAATTCTTCACAATACTATTGAGCATTACAAACTCTACAAAAAAGAAGCTTGGATTCTTTTTCAAGATACATCTAAAGCATTTGATAAAATTAACATCTCTCGGCTTCAGGATACTTGTAAAAGAATTAAAATCCTATTTCAAAATATAGATTTTATCACAGAACTACACACACAAAGATAAGCTCAAATAATTACTACCTTTGAACTTACTTCTTCTGTTAATATCAGATCTGGTATTGAACAGAGTGAAACTTATTTTTCTTTATTATGGAAAATATATTATGACCCTATACTTACTTTTATATAGAACAAATACCAAAATTCCTTTCTTAAAATTCAAACTTCCTCTCTTCTTGAAACAATATCTCAACATCAATCTATAGCTATAACTATTCCTCTACTGGCCTATATGGATGATACTACTTGGCATACTGAAAACTTTCAAACTATGCAAGATATTCTTAATGACACTAACAACTTATACAAACTTATCAATATAGAAATTAATCTAACTAAATCAGATCTCTTACATATCTTCTTCAAATCAAAAAACAACAACCAAACTATCAACTTAAATATAATAATCAAATAATTATACCTTGTAAACAAACAGAAATTATAAGATATTTTGGAATCTTTTTTGATAGCAAAGCTTTTCTCAACCTACATATGATATTATTTTTAACAAAATAGAAAACTTTTTATCACTTACTCGATACAAAAAACTTATACCAACTCTAATCTCTAAACTATTTAATCTAATATTACAACCCTTCCTTGAATACCTTCTACAGATTATTACTCTCTTTCTATCTTAACAATCTAAACTTTCTTGCCTTCTTATAATACATACAAAAAAATTACTCTCACTTACAAAAAATACAAATAATATAATTTTAACAAATCCTCTATCTCTTAATCTTCCTACACTAACAAATATAATTCAAAAAGTTAGTGCATCAAATATTGATTGACTTCTCAACAACAACTCTCTACTCAAAGAAATCTCTTTACTCTGAATAAAAACTGGCTAAGTAAAATATAGTAGTCTCAACTTACTACAGAAATTCTAATCTCTCACTCTTATAAAGTTACCAATTACAATATAATCTTTCAACTTGCTCAACTTGCAAAAAACAATATTACTCTAGCAAATATAAACTTTCTACTCTCACAACAGTATCCCTACTTTCACTACAATCTAATATTTATAATATCCTACCACCAAAAGTTAATCTTGCAACTACTAATAGTCTTCAGAATAATA